TTGTTCCTTGTGTCTATTCCCTCCTCCACCCCAGCATACTGCAATACCAACACATGGCACAGTCACAGTGTCAAAAGGAAGTAATAAACTGTCAAATCCTCCAAGTGCTGCGAGTTGGGATCCTGCATAAGGGAGCAAGTCCTATTGTGACATGCAATGGTTTGCAGTCTGAAGTTTGACGGCATGAATGCAGAATTCTTCCCCCAAGTGATGTACACAGTATACTGTACCTTTTTTTTTTTTTTTATGCAATAAAATTTTTGTTTTTAAATAAACAATGTAGGATACAGAAAAAGGGGGTGTAACAAACGATGTCCCAAAAGATTCCCTTTCACTCTCTCCTGTTACACCTTCCTCCACGAACAGCCATTCCACCAAACCCTTTGTTTCAGCCCATCTCAGCCTTGAGCCAATCAGACCTCTTACCCGACCAGCGGGAGATACTGACAATCTCTCTGGAACACCAGCACCTCAGCCCGGTCAATACTTACACTTGTTTTAACCCCTTTCCCAAAGAGCTAGGAAGGCGCTCTTTGGAGGTTAGGTTAACCCCATCCTCCTGAATAATCGCTCCCTGTGAAATGGAGGCAGTCCCCCCTTTTCAGCACACGGGAACATCCGGTAAAAGAACGCGAACTTGCCCTAATCGCCTGGAACTATTTTTGGGAATAACTTTAACAGCGGTTGGTCTAAAAGTTAAGCGAGTGGTGTTTGGACAATGGATCAGAGCGCTATTTTCACAGAATGGGAGCTCTGATCCCCTCTTTCAGGGGATATATGACTTGTGGGTGTTGGGTTTGAGGTCATTAACAGTGGGGATACCATGTTGTTTTCGGGTATTTTGGGGATATTTGTGTGTAGCCTCTTCTGTGTCTGGGAGATAATTAGTTTACCGCAAGCATGTCAAGCTCGTGGCCCACGGGCCACATGCAGCTCACAATGAATATTTTTGCCATGCTTAATGAAGCAGAGTAGGCACTTGTTCTCCCCACATTGCAGATGCCTACTCTGCCAAAATTACCAAGCCGGGGAGGAAATATCCCTGGTGGCAGCGAGGGAGCTCAGTGTGTGTGTATGTGTTTGTCTGTCAGTGTGTGTAGGTCAGTGTTGCGATGGCCGCGGCTGGACAGTGGAGGACCTGGAGGTGCACAGTGGCACACAATGCGATGTCACGTTCTGACGTGACGTCAACGTGCTCCACCTTCACACATTTTTAAGGAGTAGCAGGAGGATCCGTTTTGCACAGGATGCAGATGGCGCCATTGGGGGTATACCAGAGGCTGGACTCTGAAAAGTACAGTGGCAATGTGAATGGAGTCTGCTTGTTGGCTAATGTATTGTTGATTTTTTTTGTTTTTGTTTTTAAACAAGGGCTGGGATTTAGAATAGAGGGGGGGGGTGCTGGGATTTAGAATAGAGGGGGTGCTGGGATTTAGAATAGGGGGTGCTGGGATTTAGAATAGAGGGGGTGCTGGGATTTAGCTGGGATTTAGAATAGGGGGGGTGCTGGGATTTAGAATAGAGGGGGGTGCTGGGATTTAGAATGGGGGGGTGCTGGGATAAGCATAGAGGGGGGGACTGGGATTTAGTGTAGAGGGGTGGTGCTGTGTTGTTTTTTTGTTTTTTTTTTAAATACTGTACTTTTTTTAACCAAACCTACGTTTCTCTGAAAATGTAATGTGTTTTTTGTTTGTTTTGTTTTGTGTTTTGGAAGGGGAGGGGGTTTGCGGCCCACGTAAACTTAAACCTTGATTATGTGTCCCATGCTAGCCTTTGAGTTTGACATGCTTGGTTTACCGGTTATCAGCTCAATAATCTCCCAGACACTGAGACGCCCGGGCGGGCTTAGGACTGAATGAGTAGAGACCCCATGCATATAAATACCTGTACCTTCTGCCTGAATAAACCATACTGATTTACCCTTCAAGTCTTGGCTCATGTTTGGGGATACTAGAGCTATATCACACTTTCACTCTGTGGGACTAGGGCGACTCTTCAGCAGATATACTCAGCTGGAGTATAGGGGATCCATTACAGGGGGTAATTATGGGGGCAAACAATGCATACATGCAAACAGACATCAGCGCTGTAATAGAGGAAATAGTAAATACGTCCAAAATAAGACCCAGGAGGACCTTGAAAAACAGCAAAATGGAAACAAGAATATATGGTTTCTATTAAAAAACAATTTGCACAGTTTTGTTTAGCGCAATTTATAGGTGAAATTGGCAGTACTCTTGTAGTATTTGTATTGATTCTCCGAGTGCTAAGGAAATAAAGGATTTACATTTCCGCTGGGATTTCAGAAAACTGGTCATAGTATTTATTCATGGGTCATTTGTTCCTTTTTTAATTTTTGTAATTTATTTTTTATTTTTAACAAAACCTTGTGAATGAGCATGGCTTATTCAGAAAAATAAATTGCCGATATAATGTATATTCTTCCCAATCGCTTCTCCATTATATCTTCTTGGTACTATCTCATTATTGTGCCTTTGCCTTCTCCTTACATTAGATTTTCTTCTTTACGCCTCCCTTTTTTTATATACCACAAATCTCTTATCCCGGGCCTATGATCACACACTCCACTTACCCGTTGGTCTCCTCTATTTCCGTAATATATCTCCCACCATTTACCTTGTTTCTATATTTCTCAGTTTACTGTATATCTGTATATGCACTGCATTCTTTCAGTCTGTTTTTCACTTTCTTTTCATTCTGTGCTCTTCATCTTTCTCATGAGAGTATTGCATTTATATTGATCCTGTCCTTCTCTATCTTAATTACCTTTTACTTTGTTTTCTGTGCTCACTTATTTAATTATGTGCTCTTTCCAGGAGGACACATGGCAGTAGAGTAAACCAAGATGGCTGGCATGATGCCTCCTGTGAAATTGAAGTGGCTGGAGCACCTGAATAGCTCCTGGATCACAGAGGACAGCGAGTCCATTGCCACACGGGAAGGAGTTTCTGTACTGTATGCCAAGTTAGTCAGCAACAAAGAGGTGGTGCCACTGCCCCAGCAGGTTCTATGCCTCAAAGGACCTCAGCTGCCAGACTTTGAACGGGAGTCCTTGTCGTGTGATGAGCAGGACCACTATCTGGATGCTCTTCTCAGTAGCCAGCTGGCCCTGGCCAAAGTGGTGTGCTCGGACTCGCCCTTCGCCGGTGCTCTGAGAAAGCGGTTGCTGGTTCTGCAGAGGGTTTTCTATGCACTTTCCAATAAATATCATGACAAAGGCAAAGTAAAGCAGCAGCAGCACTCCCCCGAGAACAGCTCGGGCTCTGCGGATACCCTGTCAATTAGTGAGCGACCCCGATCTAGCACAGATGCCCTCATAGAAATGGGTGTGAGGACTGGCCTGAGCCTACTCTTCGCCTTATTAAGACAGAGCTGGATGTTGCCAACTGTTGGGCCCGGTCTAAGCCTCTGCAATGATGTCATCCGAACAGCCATTGATGTTGTTAATTCTCTCCCCCCTCTGTCCCTCGCCAATGAGAGCAAAATTCCTCCCATGGGCCTTGACTGTCTTGCACAGGTCACTTCTTTCCTTAAAGGGGTGACTGTCCCAAATTCAGGTGCAGACACCCTGGGCCGACGTCTGGCCTCTGAACTTCTCCTAGGTCTGGCTTCTCAGCGTGGCTCACTCCGTTATCTCTTGGAGTGGATTGAGATGGCTTTGGCGGCTTCTGCTCTGGTTAGTGAGACCGATAAGAACAAGGCCCTGATGTCACAGGAGGGAATGATCAGCTGTGACTGCTTTATGAGCATCCTTCAGCAGATGAGACGGTCTTTGGTAAGTACACAACATGTTTGCTTGAAGAAAAGTAATGTATGACAGAGACATTTCCGGAGTATATGGCACACTTTTCAAATGACTACTCTGAGCGTGCAGACACAATGGGCACATATTAAGTCTTGCAAACAAAAAAGTTGTAAAAGTGCAGCAGTCATCATTGAAACCAAGGTAAAGTCCATGCTGAGAAAAGATGATGCATTTAAATATAAATATATATATATATATATATATATATATATATATATATATATATATATATATATATATATATATATATATATATATATATATATATATATATTTAATGCATCATCTATTCTCAGCATGGACATCTATTCTCTATTCTCAGCATGGACTTTACCTTGGTTTCAATAATGACTGCTGCACTTTAACTATATAATATATATATTATATAGTAAATATATATATTTATATTTTAAATATATATATTTTAATATATATATTAAAAGTGCAGAAGTCATTATTGAAACCAAGGTAAAATCCATGCTGAGAATAGAGAATAGATGTCCATGCTGAGAATAGATGATGGACATCTATTCTCTATATAAAAAGCTGTACAATTTGGAGAACAGTTTTTATAAATAGATGCTAAACTTTTATATGCCTCCTACTGATAATATAAAGGCAAACCGCAAGCCAGGTTCCTCCCTCACAAGATAGAAGCTGCACCCAGTGAGGGGTGTCCCAAATCAGCCATGGGGTCTGATCTTTAAATGAACTATGGTATAGCATAGATTTTTAGAATGTGTAGTTCATTTATGGCAGCAGTTACAGCCATCAGATCTAATGAATGAAACTGCTGAATGAGCTCATAGTAGTCCTAAAGCTCTAAACCTGTTGACAGCCTCACGATTTTGTGAATTGTGCCATGCACAGCTTGGGCTCTCTCAGCTCAATAGCGTGTATATATATGCCTTACGAGTATTTGTATGACCACAGGAAGCAGTGTAGATTCCTCTTTTGAGTTCACAGTGGAAAAGGAGAGCTTATACCTGCAGAGATTTGTGCAAATCACTGCATTTGTAAGCACCTGTGCAATGAAATAAGTGGGGTGGGGGAGAATTCCATGCACTATATATAAACTATGCATAAAGCACAGCCTGAGATTATTTGCTTGTCCCTTTTAAGATGTAAGACCTCAGATTTTCTGAATGTGTTTATAACCCGTGTGTAGAAGTTTAAGCAAATGATTGATTTCTGTACTAACACACTTCCTATTAAATGTGCAGCTTAGTGAAATTTATGAGTTTAAATTTATTACATTGCAGCCTATATTTCAGGTTAATAAATAAACCATTTTTGGTTAATCCACACATCTTTGTCGGTTCAATGAGTTAATACACATTTTGCAAAGATTTATATATAACCTGAAGGTTCAAGGTTAGCATTCCAGTGGGTCATCTTAGGCTTCCATATATTTGCACATATGTGTCAAGTTTATTGTAACATAATAGTACAATTACGGTATTCAACAGAGTCCTTTTTATAATTCTTCTACAATGTACTGTATAAGTGTAACATAATATTTTGTTGTTATTACACATGGTACTATGTATTTTAGTTTATGTATAGATTACTTTTACATTCTGAACCCAAGTTGCAAACTACTATTACAGACTCTGTAGGTTTTAAGATTTAGTGCAAAATGTATTTTAAAATGGGCTTACAGTCTTATTTTAAGTGGGACTCTGAAACAAAACAGTCCTGAGCCTTTTGCTATCAATGTGCATGTCTGTTGCTCTGAAGATTGGTCTAACTTTCAAATTCTTTCTCAAGCAACAACTAATCTGAAGCTGTCTACCCCATTGTAAATCCCAAAATGCTTTTGAGTAGACACGTGTAGATTGTAATACTGGTAAATAACTTGATTCAACTCAAATTGTAAATTATCATAGCAAAGTGCAAGTCATGCACAAGGTGAACACTCCAGTGTGATTATTATATTAATAAAATGCCATTCAAAGCCAATAAACTATAATAAAATAAAGAGAACTTATAAAGGACTAATGGGTTAGATCTCGTGCGAGAGGGGTTTTAAATCAGTGAGTTGGTGATGGGATGGTAAACACAAGTGAGGCTGATTTACGGGAATGAAACCGGATCCATTTGAAGGTTTCCAGGCATAAAATGGGAGTGAATGGAGGCTGCAAGGCCTGGAGAATGGTTTGAGGATGTAAAATGTCTTCTGAATAAAGATGAGTGAGAAAATATGACTATTTGGAGGTAAAAATATATGACTTGCTTAACTACTGTTGAGGAGAGCATTCAAAATAGAAAGGAAAAAGAGAATGGTGTGCAACTTGTGAACTCTGGTGAGAGTTTAGCATTTTTTTGGTGCAGGAATGCTTATGTGAGACGAAACAGACGTAAGTTGTGTAAAAGTATAGCTAGAGTAAGGTTTGGGATAGAGACTAAGGCGTTTCAAATAAGGCCGAGATAGGAGTTGGAGAACCATGATACATACAACGGCAGGTAGATTTGTGTGGACGTATGTCATTTTCCATGCGCCATACCCTTTCTCTGCCATACTATTTATATTTATTTGAAGGGGCCGTCTGCTCTATAATGGTACATTACATTGTCCCTTGGATGTTCTTTCTTCACTGTATTTATTCTGAACAGTCTCTATTACTGTTTGATGTAAAGCATATGATAACCAGTGTTTATTTCTGTGAAACATAATTGAACATGTTAGAATGGATTTGTCTTTTTGCACCGTGCACAAGTAATAATGTGGTGTAAGTATTAAGTGTGTAAATGGCCAAACTCTGCCGTACAGCCTGCGTCCACAGCCATCGCATTCCTTAAAACCTTCAAATGGATCCCTTCCCAAATATAGATACTGTTTAATTCCTTTCTCCAGTTTGACCAGTCTCATTTAGCCTAGGCTGCAGGTAAACCACTCACACAGGTGCAGTCGGCAGTGATTGCATGCAGAGTTGTGTGAGCTTTGTTGTGGTGTTAGAAGTATGTAATTCTCACACATATGGCCCCAGTATCCTGGCCCGGTCCTGGATCCCACAGTCTAAAATTTGTCCTGTTCATGCATTGTCAAAATAACAAAACAATCCAAATAAATTAACATTTCCTTAAGCATTGTGTTTTATGTAAACCGTGAAACCTCTCTAACATTCATCCTCTACTGCTGCTTCTTGAGAATCATATCTTTAATTGGTCACCATGTGCACACATTCTTTTAAACAAAGCTGGTCTGTTTAAGCATTGCAGAGATTGTTTGTTTTAATACTGATTCCTAGCATACTACCCTAATGGACTGCTATTCTTTTTAAACACACCTACTGCTCACAAACCGTTTCTCAGGATTCATCTAGTGAATATAAGCAAGAACTAGTTTAACCAGGATTTCTATTCGAGTTCTCTTTTTGTGATATTAAAGCCAGACACACAAACGTTAATAGACAGTGGTGTAGATACAATAAATCCTCTTTTAGCAGGATTCTGTAAAAAGAAGCTTTATGTGCATAGTTAGTGTCCGAGTGGTAAGTATCTGTAACTGATATACTTTACCTCTTTAGGTTATTTAAGAAATGAGTGGTAATAGTGTGTGTGTGTGTGTGTGTGTTTTTTTTCTATTGACCAATCTATCCTTCCCCGATGCTTCCTTTGTAGGGTTCTTCAGCAGACCGTAGCCAGTGGAGAGAACCCACCAGGACATCTGATGGCTTGTGCTCTCTGTACGAGGCCGCTCTGTGCCTGTTTGAGGAGGTAAGACTTGTCTGTGTCTGCCAGAACACTGTTTGTATGTTTCAAATGTAATCATTGCCAGTATGTACTCAAAGCAAGAAACAAGAAAAACGGGTGTTGTTAACAAAACATCACGTGTATATACACCAAATACTACTGGCTTCCATCTAACACCTTCAAATGCATATAATCTGTGAGATATAATAAAGATTTTTCCGTTTATACACACCTCTTTCTTGCTCTCATCTTTATCTTCCTTTGTAATTATTCATTTTTTTTTCATAATTTTCCTTGTATCTTAAAGTACCATTTTAACCAAAAACGCACACATATATAATAAAAAAAAAGTGTGCTGTGTCTTCATATCTTTTTAAATAATGAAAGATTTAGCTTGCTTCCCACTTTAAGTATGGTAATGATATTTTAAACATGGGCAATTTTTCACTATGCAGCTATTGAACTTCAGTTCCCACGATCCTCCTTCAGCCTATATGCTATTTTTGTAACTTACTTGGATTATATGAGGTTTTGTTCATCAATAGCTGGGCTACCACAGGTTACTAGATTAAGGCCATCAGGTTAGTATTTCATAAAATGTGACTTAACTCATAATGCCAAATATTGCATTTCTGATTAACAACAAAGTCGAGGTTTGTATTTTATTGACCTGGAACATCACCTTGCACCAGATAAAAAAAATGTCTGCTGAGGTGACCTTCTAGGTTAAAGAAGCACTATAGGGTCAGGAACACAAACATGTATTCCTGACCCTATAGAGTTAAAACCATCATCTAGCCCCCCTGGTCCTCTCATGCCTCCCTAAAAATAGCAAAATCCTACTTGTATTTAAGTCTGGAGCTGCTAGCTCTGGCTTTGTTTCCTTTAGACTTGCCTGCTGACATCAGCAGAAGTGGTAGCCTGATCCAATCACAATGCTTCCCCATAGGATTGGCTGAGACTGGCAGATTAGGGGCAGAGCCAGCACAATTAAAACCCAGCCCTGGCCAATCAGCATCTCCTCGATGAATTGAATGAATGAATCTCTATGAGGAAAGTTCAGTGTCTGCATGCAGAGGGAGGAGATACTGAATGTTTGGATGCATTTTTGGCAGCCATGACCCAGGAAGGATCTTTAACAGCCACCTAAGGAGTGGCCATTGAAGTTATCACTAGGCTGTAATGTAAACACTGCATTTTCACTGAAAAGACAGTGCTTACAGCAACATGCCTGAAGGTAATGATTCTACTCACCAGAACAAATTCAATAAGCTGTTGTTGTTCTGTTGACTTTTTAACAGATTCCCTAAACACTCTCTCACCGGTTGTCTTTTAAATGCCCAGTTACTATATGTTTTGCTTTTCAGGTGTGCCAGATGGCTTCAGACTATTCCAGAACCTGTGCCAGTCCCGATAGCATCCAGACTGGTGAGAGTCCGGTCGTGTCCGAAACCTGCGAAGTATATGTTTGGGGAAGCAACAGTAGCCATCAACTAGTGGAAGGAACCCAAGAGAAAATCTTACAGCCCAAGGTGGCTCCCTGTTTCTCTGATGCACAAACCGTAAGTGTCTTTCAACATCCAATCCACATGTTTCACGGTCTCCTAATAACTGGTTTTCACTTTGTCAGTAGGTCTTCTATTCAACCATGTTTGAACACTTTTCTGTTAGGTTTCTGTATCTTAAAAGTTCTGAGTGTATTTGCATCTAATCTTTTTGTAGATTGAAGCTGGACAGTACTGCACTTTTGTCATATCCACGGATGGCTCTGTGAGGGCCTGTGGAAAAGGCAGCTATGGGAGGCTGGGACTAGGAGACTCCAACAATCAGTCTACATTGAAAAAGCTAACCTTTGAGCCACACCGCTCTATCAAGAAAGTATCGTCCTCCAAAGGGTCTGATGGACACACACTAGCGTTTACCACGGAAGGAGAAGTCTTCAGCTGGGGTGATGGTGACTATGGAAAATTGGGCCATGGAAACAGCTCTACACAGAAATATCCAAAGCTTATACAGGGGACACTGCAAGGAAAGGTAAGTGGCCTCTTTCTGGGCTAATGGCATGTTGTTGCATTATTTTTTTTTGTAACCTCTTTAATTGCATGGTAGTGTTATATAAAGAAGTGGGGGTTTTGTCCCTTATATTACCACCATATATTTAGACACTGTTGGTGCTGTTTGGTCAATTTAGACACACAGGTCAATAGAATGGACCTTTCTAAACACTATTACTTAATCAATGATGTAAGCACAGCCCGTGCCGGACTGCAACAAAAATTTAGCCCGGCAATTAAAGGCAGAGCAGCCCACTAGGAGGGGTGGGGCCTGAAAGGGGGCGTGTAATGTCACCACCATAAACTTGCACTCCACCAAATGAGTGTTAATGTGATGCTCCTCCAGAGCATCCAGTGCACTTGAATGAAGTAAATGCCATTTTTTTTGAGGGGGTGGGAGTTGCCCGATGGCCAATCCGGCCCTAAGCAAAGTGAAAGAAGGGTGCTAAAATGTGCTGGGCTTAGCATAGAAAAATGGCAATCTTAGCTAATGAAGGACACTCCATCAACAAAATTTAGCATGGATTTGAGGCCAAGACCTATCAAATGCACTTGTGTTTTTCTCCACCTTTAAAGTTTTTGTTTTTGTTTTGCGGCATAACCCCACCCCTTTAGAAATTCATCATGTTTCCACAAAATGTCTTTATGATTGGAAGGTATACAGTGTAGCTTAGCCAATGAGGGACAAGTGTAAATTGAACAGTTGAGCTGTTGACTTGACTCTGCTACACAACAAATCACTGTCCTTTTTATTATCTGTTTAGCATTTCAAAGCTGTGCTAAGGGGAAAGTGGGCAGATATTAAGAGAATAATAATTGGCTGTGTGGTGGAGTCAAGTCAGCAGCTTCTCTCATTGGATCAACTACACTTTTGATTAACAAAAGTAAAGAGAGTTTAAGGTGCAGAAAATTACAGCATGAATATGGGGCCAAACTTGCCAGCAGTGTTTCTTCATTTCAACTGCATGGATTTAATGTACATACCATTTTTTGAAATCATTGTACTGCACTGCTACTTAATATAATTAAATGTAATTGTTTTTAAAGGCTTCTACAGTAGCCATTTTGAATGATATTTTGAGATGGTTGGTATTATAGTGGCCAGCTGGTTACAGTACTAAAACTTCCATGATGCTTTTTTCAGCAGTTAAAGGAACAATATAGTGTCAGAAATACAACTTGTATTCCTGATACTATATTGTTAAACTCCCAGTTCCTTTAAATAGTTAAAAACCCACCCTTTTTTTTTTTTCCAGCACCGGACAGGTTTGTCATGACAGGCCTCACTCCGCGTCCTTGGCTGAGATCATCAACATTGACTATCTCTGCAAATCCAATGCTTTCCCATTGGGAGGCTATTGCACAGAAGGGCAAAACGCCGCTCTTAGCCAATCAGCATCTCCTCGCAGAAATGCATTGAATTAATGCAGGACGTGGAGACTCTGAAAGCAGGTGCTGGGCACTGTGCCGCATATCCCAGTGGCTGTCTGCCACGAGATCTGTTCCTAGGCAGTAATGTAAACTCTGCCTTTTCTCTGAAAAGCCAGTATTTACATTATAATGCCTCCAGGGACATGTTGTTATAGGCACTAGAACAACTATATTAAGCTGTAGTTGTTCTGGTGACTGCAGTATCCCTTTAAAGGATCTGCCTTTTAGCTGCCCATGATCTACAGTTTAGATGTCATATGTTATGGAATTATGAAGTTTCTAACATAATATTGAGACAGTGAGGGAATTTTTTTTTTTTTTTTAGAAAATGGTATAAATTTAATGAAATGATCTGTTAAAATAATTCCTTCCTGAGTTTTTGTATGTGCACCTTGTCACTGATACGATGTATGCTACAACAAAATCCTTCAATAAAATACACGCTGGAAAAATAAATAAAAAACCTTCCTGTTGTGTTTCACATTGATTTTCCGGTCTTCTTCTCACCCGTCAGGTTGTGGTGTGTGTGTCGGCTGGTTACAGACATAGTGCTGCGGTAACAGAAGATGGGGAGCTGTATACGTGGGGAGAAGGAGACTTTGGAAGACTTGGTAATACAGCCTGTTTCATATGTGCCCTACAGCAATGTTTTAATTACTGGTCACAGATTTAACTTCCCTGTGAGCCGAGTAACTGAGAGCAATGAGGTTTAGAGACAGCCATAGCACTAGCGATATGTTAATTCGTCATGTATGCAAGCCAGAAGGTTATGGAATGGCAAAGTTATAATTAATTTTTTCAAATTTGCAATTCACTCCATTGCCTTAACTACCAGAGTTAAAAATCAATCCGATTTGGTACATTCTCTTCCAGTAATAGTCATTGGATATCACTACCTAGAGCTTTTATTTACTTTTTTCCCCCTTCTTTCTAATTTAAGAAAATAATGTATATTTTAAAGATGTATTTACATTTTTGCAAGGATGTAGAATACCGGAGGAGGAAATATTCCAATATTCAAAGGGTGAATCATTGAAATGACTGATATTACTTGCAGAATATGAGTTGATTATTGATGTTACAGATCCCTAGCTTTTATGGAAACTCCATGTCCCGTGATGTTTTTTCATCTTTTGTCTGCCTTTTGGCTTTTCACATTCTAACCTATTCAGTGCATAACTCTAGGTTTGAAGAATAAAGGCTGCTTAATTTCATGCCTATTTAATCTTTAGGCCATGGAGACAGCAATAGTCGGAACATCCCCACTCTGGTAAAAGATATCAGTAATGTTGGGGAAGTGTCTTGTGGAAGCTCCCACACCATAGCTTTGTCCAAAGATGGAAGAACTGTCTGGTCCTTTGGAGGAGGGGATAACGGTATGTACACCATACTCCTTTCTCTGATGTAAAACACTAACCTGTCCAGAATACTAGGGTGATGCTTTAATGACTTCTGTTCGGGTACTGACCAAGCCAAGTATTTCTGTGCATGCTTATATTTCTGGTGTATATTTTACAGAGCTTTATGAATGTACCTCCCCCTAACTATTAAGAAAATATTATGTTCTTAAAAGGAACACTCCACTGCAAATACCACCACTTCCATTCGCTCAGGGCATCTAAACCTTCCTGGCTGTTTTATAAAGTGCCTTTTAAATTGGATACTAATCTACCATAAAGAACTCCAAGAAGGAAAAGTGCTTTATGGGTGGGAAGTAGTCCTTTAAACATTCACAAACCCTTTTCAGTTCCTGCCTTAAATGTTTATCTTTGATTAGCTCTTTTAATGGGTGGGCAACTGTTGCTAAATCCTGGCTTGACTAAAATGGTCCTCTTGGTCTGGCATGGTCTTCTGGTCTAGCTGGTCTATTTTTTCTTATCCGATTAATCTGTCTATCAGAGGTTTATGGGATAAGTAGTTTATCCCTAAAGAGTACTTCCACTCATTTTAGAATGTTACTATCCGTTAAACACAGCTGGTATAGCTATAGGCAGAACTCCTGCTTGGGTCACTGTACAAAATGGAGAGAACTCTCCAGGAGGACAGAATTAACACCCTAAAGCTGTTCTGGGCTGCCTGACTGACAGCTCTGAGGTGCAAGCATAGAGCCGAAGCAATTTTTAACAAAATTCTGTAGTTCTAAGTGACTCTCAGTACTAAAAGGTGGCACAGGGAGCTTTAAGCACCATTAACTTTGCAAAACCACAAAACTGCTATGGTACTTAGAGGTACCCTTAAGTTATCTCCTATATAAAAGATTATCTAATTAAAGAGACATCCAGGCTAGTGTTGGCATATTTTAATAGGCCATGCATAAAAAATATACAGAAACAGATTAAAAGGGCACTCTTATTCGGATTCATTCAATAACAGCAAATCACTGTTCTTTCAAATACATTTTCAACCAACCAGGAATTGTCTTGGGATGTGAGGGTTAGGAAGTGGGCTTATAGATCAAAACTAGTATTTAAAGACCACGTAAAGACTATGGGCAAGAAAAACAAAAATTGCTTGTAGGTGAGTGCCTACACACTTTTTTTATTTTTATTTATACATATGTCTTTTGTGTTCTCAGGAAAGTTGGGACATGGTGACACTAACAGAGTATACAAGCCAAAGGTGGTGGAAGCACTTCAGGGAATGTTTACAAGGAAAGTATGTGCGGGAAGTCAATCATCACTAGCCCTAACATCGACTGGACAGGTACGTGAAAGGAGAAGTATATAATTTATATCTTAACACCTTTTAATTGTCTAATTTTTTTGTTTGTTTCATGTTCTGTCTTTTTCATGCCTGTGTTGCTTGCACAGTGTTAAAAACCCGACTCTGATATCCTGACGTTCGACTCCATATGCAAAATGTTTTTCTTTTTTAATATTTATTTATATATATACCGCTTGTGTTTAGGTCTATGCTTGGGGATGCGGAGCATGCCTGGGATGTGGATCTTCAGAAGCGACAGCTCTGCGACCTAAACTTATCGAAGAACTGGCTGCCACTAGAATAGTTGACATTTCTATTGGAGACAGCCACTGCCTTGCTCTATCTCACGGTATGCATGTTTACTTTCAGAATACAGTGCAATTTCATGTTACAAATTTACTGTCTTTTGTTTTTTGTCTTTTTCGTCAAATAAAATTTATTCAGAAAATGGAGATCACTTATATACAAGCATTACTAACATTAATACTCAGGTGTATAATAAGAGTATGATAATATATGTAAAAACAAATCTTTGTTAAATATTATTTCCATACAGTTGTTTAATAATGGAAAATTTCAAGCACTTACATCTACAAATCTCTCTCGGTTGGTCTTTCCCCCCTCCCCCCCCCCCAAAATATGCCGTGGGAAAAAAATATAAAACGTGAAAATGAAACTCCTAACTGGCAGAGATTTGAGCAGTGAGACTGCAGGGGCATGATCTATACACCAAACTTGCTTTACGAAGATAAAGTTGTTTTGGTGACTATATAGTGTCCCTTTTTAACTGTCCAACATAATGTGTCACAAAAATGCATTAATGACTCTTACTAAAATAAATATTTGAGGTTACTATAATTCATATATTATGGGAGCCTCACAGGGACATTTCAAACATCATAATCACTATGGCTTACCTAATATTTCCCTATTTGTGTTCAAAGAAATCCAACTATGGTATTGGCAGGATAAGGCATGGGCTTAGGGTGCTGGGGAATACCATTATTTGCACCAAACTACATGAAAACGGACCAAGAAAGGGAATGACATCATATTCTCAGTCTACTATAACCACTGCAATGAGATTAAGTGGTTATTGTTCTTGGAGTGTCCCTTTACCAACATGCCAGTGTAAGCTTTTTAATACATTCAAATAGAAGATAAAGCAAGCACATATATCTTTTTGGGTATATATGTGCTGTTATGGCATCTGTCGACTTTTTCCTGTGAAGAAATAACAGGCAGACCATTGCTCACTATTAGTCTTTGCTCCTGCGTGCCTCGCCTCCCAAAGGCTTGATTGCAAGTTTTAATCGTGTGCACTTTTAATCTTGTGTACCTGCCACTGTAAAAGTGAATCAATATAATGAACTACGTACAGGCAAGTGCAAACCTCTTATCTATGACCATAAGCTGAGCTTTGACATTCAAAGTTAGTACACGCATATAGGCTCCTGCTGCTGCTGCAAATATGCTGACCAAGGCGCAGATGGTGATTTTCCGTGCAATATTTCCTAACTAAAGTAGAAGAGCCCTTAAAGGTATAACCGGTGATTTAAAAAAAAACGCACACGTTGCACGGATGCCAAGTGGACACATGCTGACTTTTCACATCATTGCTGTTTTTTTGAAATCACTGTATTTTTATTTCATTATTTTAATCATCAAAGGGTATTCTTTTGCTTTTGCAAGTGTTCACCATTAAGAAACTGATCGTTAAAATGTACAGAAATATACTGCTTCCAGACTCTGTAGCACAGAGCGCCTGCTGCTTCCAGACTCTATAGCACGGGGCGCCTGCTTCTTCCAGACTCTATAGCACGGGGCGCCTGCTGCTTCCAGACTTTATAGCACGGGGCGCCTGCTGCTTCCAGACTTTATAGCACGGGGCGCCTGCTGCTTCCAGACTTTATAGCACGGGGCGCCTGCTGCTTCCAGACTTTATAGCACGGAGCGCCTGCTGCTTCCAGACTTTATAGCACGGGGCGCCTGCTGCTTCCAGACTTTATAGCACGGGGCGCCTGCTGCTTCCAGACTTTATAGCACGGGGCGCCTGCTGCTTCCAGACTTTATAGCACGGGGCGCCTGCTGCTTCCAGACTTTATAGCACGGGGCGCCTGCTGCTTCCAGACTTTATAGCAGGGGGCGCCTGCTGCTTCCAGACTTTATAGCAGGGGGCGCCTGCTGCTTCCAGACTTTATAGCAGGGGGCGCCTGCTGCTTCCAGACTTTATAGCACGGGGCGCCTGCTGCTTCCAGACTTTATAGCACGGGGCGCCTGCTGCTTCCAGACTTTATAGCACGGGGCGCCTGCTGCTTCCAGACTTTATAGCACGGGGCCTGCTGCTTCCAGACTGCTAGACTTTAGCACGGGGCGCCTGCTGCTTCCGCCTGCTGCTTCCAGACTTTATAGCACGGGGCGCCTGCTGCTTCCAGACTTTATAGCACGGGGCGCCTGCTGCTTCCAGACTTTATAGCACGGGGCGCCTGCTGCTTCCAGACTTTATAGCACGGGGCGCCTGCTGCTGACTGCACGGAGCGCCTGCTGCTTCCAGACTTTATAGCACGGGGCGCCTGCTGCTTCCAGACTTTATAGCACGGGGCGCCTGCTGCTTCCAGACTTTATAGCACGGGGCGCCTGCTGCTTCCAGACTTTATAGCACGGAGCGCCTGCTGCTTCCAGACTTTATAGCACGGGGCGCCTGCTGCTTCCAGACTTTATAGCACGGGGCGCCTGCTGCTTCCAGACTTTATAGCACGGGGCGCCTGCTGCTTCCAGACTTTATAGCAGGGGGCGCCTGCTGCTTCCAGACTTTATAGCAGGGGGCGCCTGCTGCTTCCAGACTTTATAGCACAGGGGCGCCTGCTGCTTCCAGACTTTATAGCAGGGGACGCCTGCTGCTTCCAGACTTTATAGCACGGGGCGCCTGCTGCTTCCAGACTTTATAGCACGGGGCGCCTGCTGCTTCCAGACTTTATAGCACGGGGCGCCTGCTGCTTCCCGACTCTATAGCACGGGGCGCCTGCTGCTTCCAGACTTTATAGCACGGGGCGCCTGCTGCTTCCCGACTCTATAGCACGGGGCGCCTGCTGCTTCCCGACTCTATAGCACGGGGCGCCTGCTGCTTCCTGACTCCTAACTGACTAAGTCTGTCTGCTTTGCATACGGAAATTAATGAAGACACCCACTTCAAGCTATTTATAGGGATAATTTTGATAGGACTGTCCAATTATCTCAAGAGTTCCTGCCGTCAGAAACTGATGTTTTTTTCTTTTGCAGTTACTTCCCCCACTCTCATTTGAAGACCATAAATTGTAATCGTACGTTTAACAGAATGTATTGCATCAGCCAGACATGAAGTCTAAAATTAGCTAGAACGTGTGTAATGCTGCAGATAATGATATCTGTGGCTTTGCCCTTGGTATTGTGTTTATTGTAAAGAGCAGAAGCTATTGCTAGAAACTATATTTTATTTTTAAAATAAAGTAATTTTTTATTACATTGTTTGGATTTTAGAATTGTTTTGCTGCTTAAACTATCCTAGTGTATTGTTATTTTTGTCTCCTTTAGATAATGAAGTTTATGCGTGGGGGAACAACTCAATGGGCCAGTGTGGGCAAGGCAATTCAACTGGCCCCATCACCAAGCCAAAGAAAGTGAGTGGGCTAGACGGAGTAGCTATTCAGCAGATCTCGGCAGGAACCTCGCACAGCCTGGCATGGACAGCCCTTCCCAGGGACAGGTAAAGGGTAACATTATCTACCTGAAAAAGGTGAAAATTTGGAATTGGTTTGGTAAAGTGACAGCAGTACGACTGTTTCCTAAGAGTGCACCAGAATAACTCGCAAATAGAATCCTTTGTATAAACGCAATTAAACATATAATTAACACAAATAGATAGGTAATCTTCTGGTGAATTGAGAACTTCATGGCAACCTTTAGGCAAAAGTACTGATTTAGAAAGATTCTCTAACTCCGCTGTAGTTCTAGCTTGGCTTTTTTGACCTGAATTTTATGGTTTCCGTTCATTAAAATCTGATGTTTAGTGCATACACCTTAAAGGACCACTATATGCACCCAGACCACTTCAGCTCAATAAAGTGATCTGGGTGCCAGGTCCCCTTAGTTTTAACCCTGCAGCTGAAAACATAGCAGTGTCAGAGAAACTGCTATGTTTACATTGCAGGGTTAATCCAGCCTCTAGTGGCTGTCTCCTTGACAGCCACTAGAGGCGCTTCCGCGATTTACACTGAGTAAATTGCACTTATTTGATGCTGGATGTCCTCACAGATCTCCAACGTCGAAAAAAGATCCCCATGGGAAAGCATTGAGTAATGCTTTCCTATGGGTAGGTTTGAATGCGCCTGCACGCCTCTCTCCGCACATTTGCTTTCAGCTCCACACGGGAGCTAGCGCTAAATTAAGGCAAGCAAATAAATGATTAACCATTTATTCACCGCGGAACAGGGCACTAGTCACCGTTTTAGGTGACTAGGGCTCTATAGCGTTAGGAATACATAATTGTATTCAAATGCTATAGTGTTCATTTAATATATTTTATTTCGTACATGATGAATCGCAGAAACTTTTGTAATACTATTCTTCGGCGTAAATCCATCAATCGTGAATGGCATTATTACTTCCCATCATGATAACTAGGGCATGGCACTCTAAGGCATCAAATGGTTTCACGACCATCGTCAATATAATGTGTGTTTATTGTAAGCAAAACTTACTCAGTTGTTAACACTTTCTTCTTCTAGACAAGTTGTTGCGTGGCACCGGCCTTACTGCGTTGATTTAGAAGAGAGTACCTTCTTCCACCTGCGCTCTTTTCTTGAGAGATACTGCGAGAAAATAAACAGTGATGTCCCACCCTTACCCTTTCCATCCTCCAGGTATATCTAGAGTGACTGTATTTTTATATATATATAGCAGTTTGTACTGCAAATTTCTTTGTACGTAGTCATTTATCTTTGGGTACAGTAAATGTGTGGTTTCATATGTTAAGTGGCTTAAGGTCTGTGTCTTGTTTAAAAGGGGCACTTCAGAAAACATATTTTAACCTTTTGTATCTGAGCCATTTCACATTCAAGTATTAAAGCCATTTTGGCTTTTGCACTAATTCCATTTAAATAATAGTATAATTTTTTGTTTTTTGTATGAGTCGCGCAAGCAATGATATATGGTTTATTTAACAAATTAGTTTCTTACAGTTTGCCTTTATTGAGGTTCGAAAATAAGTGTTCCACAGGTAGAGGACCTAATAGAAGATAAAATTAACTCAAATGTCACCTATTTTAAACTCCAGAGATCGCATTAATTTGGAAACCTGCAATTCTTTGTATTAGCTAGGTGGAACAATGTTTTATAAGCCTGAATACTTACCCAATGAGATGAATTCTGTCTTTACAACTCAAGTGATTTGTTAAAGTGGTAACAATTAACTGACAGCAACTGCTATTATTGCTTTTTATTTGGCTTGTAGTACCTCCGTTCTCACCCACCCAAAATATATATATATTTTGGTGAGGGGATCATTTGGACTTTTTTTTTTTTTTTTAAGGTTGCCAGACAACCTACTGTAGGATATATGCTGTAGTGAATGGATATAATCGGGCATAAGGGCCAGGCTTATTCTCCTCAGTTTTTGTTACTATGTGCACTGTGTTACCAGATGGTACCACCGTAAGTGTGATTATCTAATGTCTACCTTTGCTTCTGGCTTCTTATTTGAACGAAAGGGGTTAAACAAGGCTTCTAGAGCCACTTTTCCAGCAACAAGCACCCTAAAAATCACTTAGTGACAGGTGTCATTCTAAATCTCATGGTCTCTCATAGATAAAAAGAAGCAAATGGGGATCTCTCAGTTCGTGCCATAAAATACTGTCCTAATGAACATTGAGCTAGTTGATCACCTTTATATTGGTGATCACCTGAATCCTAGCAGGCAGATTTTCCACCCTTTCAAATAAAGCGTAACATGTCTCCAGAGCGTAAAACAGGGTCATTTTTCCTGGCATTCCATTATTAGCCCTTGGAGTCAATCTAAGGTGTGCAGAATTCTACAAGGTAATATGTAATCTCTTCTGCATTACACTGATTGGACCTTTTTAGTTCACTGAGATTTAAACCTTGGACTGGATAAAGGAGTGCTTATGGTCATGAATATTTAAGGCCTTTGTGTTAGCATCAATATAACAAGATTACATTACTTAATTAGTTTATATATGATAAGAATAATGCTCCCATGGTAGTAAAAGGCTTTTAAAAATTATTATTATTGATTATGCAACTTAGTCCCTTATTTCGAAGCAGCGACTACACTTCCGGTTGAGATAACCCACCGCAGAACATTTTGCTTGCTTTGTTTAAGATAACTTTGCCCATGTTTTGTTTATTACGGTCACCATGATATTAACTCTGTGACCAGTCAGCGTAAATCTGAGCAGCACGTGCTATCTGATGAGCACATGTCTAGTTCAATGAGTTGGACAGTGATCTTGCAGTCATTGACCTGCATATATTCCCCTACAGGTGTAATTCTGTGTCATTTGTTTTGAAAGGAGTGAACATAGGGGACAAAGTAATATTCAATGGACATATCAGATTAATGATTCCAGAAGTGTAATCTGTAAAGGGGCCCTCTGCATAGATAGTATAGCTCATTGTAGTGGCTATTGTGCTATTTCTTCAGTTTTAAAGAGGCCACTTTATTCCACCTTCCTAAGTGGAATTAGCAACATTTTGACTTCTTTAGGCGTAACAAACACATTTTCAGCTTGAAGAATTGGCAAGGTTGATGGAACTTAAATGTCACTTGTAAACTGAGGGTCTTGTAGCTCCCATTTTTGTTCCTGATTATGGAGGACCGAGAGCAGGGTCTTGTTTTTTGAATCAGATTTTTAATCCATGGTGAGGTGCTGTGTTTTTTGTTTCCTTTATTGAATTTTTATGGTGTATAGATCTATGGATACCACCTTCCAGATTAGTCAAATTACTTTAGAAGGGTTTGTCAAACACACAAGACTCTCCATTGCACACATAGCTTGCCCTGTCTTTGGCAGCACTGATAATGCAGAAACTAAGCTTTCACTTAATCAAGTGTGAATCTGCCCGTCCTAAACAGCAATCATAGGCTGAGAGCACAGAGCTACCCCATAGATTTATAGCACCAATTTATAATGGTACTTAGAGGCAACTAACAGAAGCACTATGTCATAATCCATTGATTATTTAATAAGCCCCCTTTTTATAATTTTTTGTTACAAATTACTATTTAACTTGCCTTTTTTCTAGTGCAGAGATTGACTTCTCACTGCAGCTTGATCCTCCCTCAGTGGTTCTCACTGACAAATTTTGTCCTGTAAAATGCTTCTTATAGTGGAGCTTTGTTGAAATATGGGACATGTTTGGCAATCACTGCCATCTGCTAATCTATTACTTCTCTATGAGTACACCCAGCTTCTGGCGCAAGCATACTTTGCATGCTGTCACCAGATTTGGAATAGATTCAGTTATTAAATCTATTTTAGTTCCAAAGACCTAGTGGCTGTCTGACCACTACTAGAGATGTAAGAATTGCAAAACTGTGCCATTTCTCAGAAAGTGACCTGTTTTTACTTGCAAGCCTGAAGGGAGGCATCGTATTTTGTACTAACGTTTGAGGCCGTCCAGACAATCCCAGTCATACACTGCACATGTTCATTGTTTCAGAGAGCACCACAGTTTCCTAAAACTCTGCTTGAAGATGCTGTCCAACCATTTGGCATTGGCTTTGGCTGGTGGAGTTGCCACAAGCATTCTGGGCCGTCAAGCAGGACCACTCCGCAATCTGCTCTTCCGGCTCATGGATGCCAGTGTGCCAGATGAAATTCAAGAGGTGAGGCCTCCGTAGTATTACTGTATCATTGAACTTACAAATTACATATCTGAATTTTCTTCTTCACAGTCTTTATTCTGTAACATTCTAAAGGTTTGAACCAGGTCAGCCGATCTCCAGGCTTGGGCAATCTGAGACCCTGTAGCATCATACTGGTGTCCCATCCCAACTTCTCCCTTTGGCCAGTCTGGTCTACACCTTGGAAGCCCCTAAGCTGAATTAAGCTTTTTAGTATAATTTAAAAAGATAAATGTGAATAAGAAAAACATATTCAGAGTGAAATACAGTATAAAAATCAAGATGACTTTCATAATCAGAAATTACTCGGAGTTTAACAAACAAACAAAAAAGTTTCCTGCACACTATCCTAAATCCCTATGAACATTTAAATAACAGGAGGTTATTGGCCAATGGCCCATAAGGTGTAAGCTGACCTGTACTGGTTCTGATGTGTACTATAGCTATTGTTGCTGCCCAGAAGTAGTGGGAGTTTGAGCGCCATTGTCCTACTCTTTCCTGCAATCCTGGAGGTCTACTTACAATCGTTATATTCACAGGTTGTCATTGAGACTCTCTCAGTTGGAGCCACGATGCTGCTACCACCTCTCCGGGAGAGAATGGAATTGTTACACTCTCTCCTACCACAAGGACCCGACAGATGGGAAAGTCTTTCCAAAGGCCAGGTAGGGATGCAATGAATGTCCATGTTCACAAGTTATTCTAGTCCAGCAATCTTGAACTCCAACCTCAATACCTGTGACACTAGATCTTTTGGTTGATTTGTCAGATTGCACTGTTAATTGTTACATTACATACTCCTAGAACACTATTTTGACCTTCAAGGAAAACATTAAAAAAATAGTAATATTTTAAAGTGTGTGAATTCAAATCACTGAAGTGGTCATGGTGGTTGGAGTAATCCTTTAAATATTAAGCAAGTGAAGTATTAAACAACCCTGCATAACCACCGCTGGATAGGTTGCGGTGTGTGTGTATGTGGCTTTGATTTGTATGTAATTATTGCATAATTAATCCATTGGTTCCTAACCTAACCCTAACGTCACAGCAGCGGTTCAGGTATTTTCTGTATCCTCTTTGGAATAGAGTTAGTAAATACCTAAATCCTGTCTGTTTATGTGCCTTTAAGGGTGGAAAAGGGAACCACTGAATTTACCTACCCATTGCACCTAATGTAAAAGTGGAAAGTGTATCTTTTATTTCTTGCCCTTTGTCATGTACAGAGAATGCAGCTAGACATCATACTGACCAGCTTGCAGGACCACACACACGTGGCTTCATTGCTGGGGTACAGCTCTCCTTCTGACACCTCTGATGTCTCCTCTCTACCACTTTCATACGGTGCAACATCTGACCCGAACTACATTTCACAGGGAAGCCACCCAGATACCCACTTGGCGGAAATCCTGATGAAAACACTCTTGCGAAACTTGGGCTTCTATACAGTAAGTTAATTTCTATATGGGACCTTAACTCTAACGTGGAACTGCAGAATTAAAAAGATTGTATCATTATTGATTGATTGCAGTACACACATCTAACTTGAAAATAATTTCTAAACCAAGTGCAACCACTTGCATGTGTAAACAATCTTTAGAATTAAGTGCTTAAAATGTTCAAACTCACTCCACAATAAAATGAATCAAAAGCAAATAGTAGTGCATAAAAGTACACCACTCTGTGAGGAAAAAAAATATAAACCAATACTTAAAAAAGGTAGGTTCAGACCGGATTTATCCCATTCATTGAATGCTTCTCGCTCTGTTTTATTATAGCACAAAGACATTTTAAAGTTCATATGTACCAGAAGGAGATTCTCAATAATCTGAATTTAAGGCACTATTTAATATTTCTAACATTAAAATAATACAGCTTTAGTGAAAAAAGTTCTTCAGTGATTTCATCTATTTTTGCTTATTGAAGGGTTGGGGCAGAGAAAATCCTATATTTTTTCATTGGAGCGTATTTACCAGCTTCAGCGGGAGGATACGTAGATATTTTCAGTCCTCATCCTCTTCAGTCTACTGCTTTCAGCAACAAACGAGTTTCCACTCCATCCCGTTCACTTCGGTCAGCCAGAAAATCTCTCCTGTCAGTGTCAAGAATAAAGACAGACTCTGGTTCCAGGGCATTCAGCCACGCTGCCCCTACTTTCTGGAACGCTTTACCGTGTGCAATCAGAGAGGCATTGTCCTTACAGACCCACCACTTCCATCAGGCATTCAATCCGCTCCTCTGACCTTCAGAAACTCCTAACTTTTATGTCTTTATGTTTGTATATTTGTAAAGTGCTTTGAGTCTCACAGGGAGAAAAACGCTACAAAAATCGCAAATTATTATCATATGCAATATTTCTCCCCTATTGTCATGAAGCAAGCAATTTGGGCACCGTTTTGCTCTGTTTTTTGTGTTTTTATTCACCTACTTATAGTGATTTCTACCAGTGATGAACCTTGTACAAAGTACTTTATTTACATACACAACAAAAATAGTTTTAATGTATGTAATTCTTAGTTGAATGTGTCTAACAGTTTGTTTTTTATTTTACCAATTTATGGATGTTGTTAATTAGGAATGCTATCAAATCAGAAGGCAGTTTTTAATGTATGGGGTGGTCTTCTCACAGTACCTATGGACAAGGGAAATCCTTACCGTCATTCATCATTCATTCTATCAAAAATAATCACTGACTCCTGTCGCACATGTTTGCTCTTTATTGTTCTTTATAAATTGTAAAACTTAAAAAACAAAAAACAAAAAAAAAAAAAGTCAAACCAAAGCCTATGATAAAGTAGGATATTCGGAATGGTTTAAAAGTTGCAGCTGAGACGAGCTAGGCAGCCCTGCGTGTTTTCACATTCTGTGTCACTGAAAATATTTCTTACTGTTCTTTCCAGGATCAAGCGTTCGGAGAACTAGAGAAAAACAGCGACAAGTTAATTATGGGCGCTTCATCGTCTGAAAACACCCAGCCAGCCCATCTCCATGAACTGCTGTGCTCTCTGCAGAAGCAACTGCTGGCATATTGCCACACAAACAATATCAGTGAGGTATGTAGTCATTAGGAGTGATCACAAGTTACTATAAGGAGGAACATACTCCTCTATAAGTATTGTGAGCAGTAATAGCACAATTAGATATAGAATTTGTAGGCGAAAGCTAAATCATGACAAACTAGCATTCGACTTCTTTTCAACATTTAGTAAATAAGTATCTTTTCTTTTTTTTCTTTTTCTTACCATTTCTTGACCTGCTGCAAATCACTAGGCAAACGTCAACAGCATGATTCCTGCCCAAACCAGGAAGTGGTATTTCCTATCAGGAATCACTCATTCTGGTGTACGTGTCTGAGTGTATCTAATTATATGACCTGACTTGTGCAATTCTCTGTTTTAATCAATTGTGGGCAATGTGACCGGGACAGGTGCCTCCTTACTGTTATGAGGACTCCGCTAACCTGTGAGCATGCAGAAGTCAATGTGTTCAAGGCTGATCAATGTGACATGCTTCCTTTTATTATTGAATCCAGAAAAAAAAGAGAGGTCCAGGCACTGCAAAGCTCAGCAAGGCAGGCACATCAGTTGGAACCAAGTAATGTTCTGACCCGACAATGGATCTTTGACAAAGACCCGTTGTAGGATTGAAACGTTGCTGTGTACTTGATTCCTATAAATGTGCCTTGCTGAGCTTTGCGGTGCCTGGAAATGTCTTTTTCCTGGATTCAATACAATGTGAGGATTGTGAGAGCCCCTGGTTTGGTTGCACCCAATTATTTTTGCTCTAAATATTGTTGGTATGTATGTTTCCTATAAGGGGCTGGATTTGACTTAATTTGGCCATGATGAGTCTTGATTCATGCTCCTAAGTGCATTCTGGCAGCCGAGTTGGTGTTCACTCTGGCTACTTTTTAAACCCAAGAGAAATTTGCAATTTCATGATCCGATAACTTTGACCTGACTAGTCATTAACTTTCCTGATCTCTATTATCCTTTTGGCCTCTGCTTGTTTCTGTATAGTATGACCTATATTTGAGAGGTGACTTCCTTTCTAGCCTGACCCTTGCTCCTCAACCCTTAAAGTGAGTATAAGTAGATATATAGTAGCACTTCTGGGCAAAATGCACCCAAACACCAGAAACCAAAACTTGAGTATTTAGAAGCACAAAGGAAGGGAATAAAGTTTTCTTTTACATTTTTTTGATTACCATATTGCCTTCACATAATTATTGGCCATATTGCAGGAATTTCGTGACCGTGATTGCTCTCTTCTATTTCAGAACTCTAGCAGTGTCGCTCTGCTCCACAAACACCTTCAGCTTCTTCTGCCCCATGCCACAGACATCTATTCCCGATCTGCCACATTGCTAAAGGAAAGCCCGTGGAATGGGAGCGTTGGAGAGAAACTCCGTGGTATGTTACACTCTGAACATTCTTCTATAATATCTTCTGCAGACCTCTACCAAGATTATAATGTCAATCTGCTCCTTAATTGCTCTCTGCACATCTTCGCAAAAACTTTAATTTCCTATTGGCTGAGCACTGATGATCAAGTAGTTCGAACCGCAAGATACTACCTGCACATCCACAAGTACACGATAAATGTTTTACTTTTTATTAAGCATGTTTATTTACCAAACTGGGGATTGCAAATGTCAGCCAAGCAGGAGTATTTTTCTTTTTTTCGTCTATTTTGGCTTAAAAGTTTTGATTTGTTAGTAAATGTCTAGTTGAACTATTACCCCTGTGCAGGTGTACTTACCGTGCCCTCGTTACTTTCCCTATTAATAAGCTTGCTAACAATGCGCACACAGAATGTAAAGTAAGATTTAAAATGAGTTCCCTTTCTGTATCCGTAAATAAGTAACTATTGATTCTACAGGCCTGAAAAGCAGATGTGTATCTATCTACTACAAAGGAATGAATTCAGTATAAATAGCTAAGGCAGTGACGGTGTTGGCATCTCTATTCTAATGACAGCCATGTTTTCTCTTTGCAGATGTCATCTATGTTTCTGCAGCTGGTAGTATGCTGTGCCAGCTTATTAATGCTCTACTGTTGCTACCCGTCTCGATAGCCAGGCCTCTTCTCAGTTACCTGTTAGACCTGCTCCCACCCCTGGATCGCCTCAACAGACTCCTACCTGCAGCTGCTCTGTTAGAAGATCAGGAGTTGCAGTGGCCCCTACACGGTGAGGACTCTTCTCTGCAGTGTGTACTGTATCTGAGAATAATGTGTTGTTAGTTTTTTTTTTTTCCATAGGTTTTTTTGTTTGTTTTCTTTCTTATTTACAATCTAGAAAGTGTCACACATTTTTGACACTTATTAGTATGTCTTGATGCAGAGGTGGTCAATTGATTACTCACCACATGCTGTAGAGCCATGCAATATTTAGGACCACCAGAAAGGGGAGGTGCAGGCATTACACCCACTCATGCTGTGGAACCAGCTGGGTAAATGGAACATAACTGAGCACTCTGTCCAGCAGTACTGGGAGGATGTAATGTTAGGTCACTTCCTCCCAGCTCACATGCTGTGGGTGAAGAGAAGCTGACAGCCTCTACTATTAACATGGAACCTTCCCTCCAGGACTGATGTATGTATTTCAAAGTGTATGGGTGTGCTTGGTATTGAGGGTATAGTGAATCTGGGGTAATCTGTATCTGTGCTTTCTTTTTTTTTTATTTGGAGTATATATTAGTGAATGTATATATTTTTTTCAATGTATGTTTCTGGTAATGTTTGTGTGTACCCTTATTTGGGAAAGAATGACAAGGAGGCTGCCAGTGCTTTTGTAATGGGCCTCAATATGCCATGATGTTTTTGCCTTATGTATTTTGTATTTTTGCATCGCTTGATAAACCCTGACAATAAGGCAGAGTGCTGCTGTCAAGCTTTGTCAATCCCCAGCCGTCTAAGGGGAAAAAGGTAAAAATACGAGACACCCCCTCCCCCGACGTTTCGGCTGAAAGTCTTTGACAAAAGCTTTCAGCTGAAACGCTGGGGGTCTCTTATTTTGGTTTCCTCTCACTCATACTTTTATTTTATTTTTTGTTAATTAATTCCTGGATTGGACTGTTTTTTACCCCCCTTTTTTCATTTAAGTGATATGTGTATTTATAAAATATTTTACCAGAAAGAATACATTGAGATTTCTCTCCTTTTCAAGTATGTCCTGGGTGCACTTTTGATGATTGCATATTTTGCTGCAGGTTTTTATTTTATTGTTATTTTCCCTTTGTTTATGTGACCCTTGTATACATTGTTAATGTTAAGGATATCCAGTAAGAGATTATGCTCTCCTTTCTCTATAGGTATTGTCTTTGTATTCATTCAGTAAATATTATATAGTTTTTATTGGTTGTGCTCCTCATTAGTTTGTTATTGGGTAAAGTTTCAGACTCTCTGTAGGGAGTGGATTTGTTGAGTGAGCACCCTGCTTCTTATTTACTTTTCTGGTCCAATTCAAGCTTGTTCAAGTTGTTGGTTTTGCACTGTGCATTAGGTGCAGGAGAGCCCTGATTTTTGTTGTGTTGCTCAAATACAGTTTGACATTAATCCGAGCAATTGCATGGAGTTACCATAACCATTACAAAATGCTGTAGTACTTATAGTGCTGTCCCTTTAAGATTGATTTGGCTAATGTGCAGCATAACACGCAGATGAGTATAGACTGTATTGAAAAGTTATAGGAAGTCTTTGATAGTTGCATAATAGCTCCTTCTACTATGCAAAACAACCTGCTGATTTTAGTTCGCTTTTTATTTTTTTTATTTTTGTATCTATGACAACTCACATTGATCTTTAGGGCTCCTGCATATAAAGATAATGCAATGAGGGGTGGGGGGGATTCATTAACAAAGTTTACATATTGTGCTATTACATGGATGAAAGCTTTTCGATGTGAACCGTAGATCCTCTCAATGATGAATGAGAAATGTAATCCTATCAATCATTTTGAACTATTTCATGATCTCTAGCACTTCTAAATAATCCAACAGGCATGTAAAATGGCAGTAAATGGAAATACGGGAATGGCAGTTTACAAACAATAACATGAAGTCGGCTGAAAATCTTGCATTGCTCGGTGTTCCTGTTTATTTTGAGTTTTAAATTCATTCCCCTAATGTCAGCATAAATGGTGGCATGAAGTCATCTGTGATGGTTGAATGTGCACTTTAATTTGATATTTTTCTTGAGCCAGTTCAGAATGGGCCATCATGGATCCCTGGGAAAAAGTACAATTCAGCTCCCCAGCAATAAGACTTTGGAATTTAAATTTGTCATTGACCATCAATGATAACCGAGCTTTGGCAGCATGCCTACTTCCAAATATGCTCATTCAATGTCATACCTAATTAACCTGGCTATGTACCCAAACTTTGTTTTTGGACTCTATATTTTCTTTCCATCCACTATGGATTGGAATTACTCTTGCCATCTTCATGGTATTGTAAAATGTCCATAGGCAGTTATGACCTGGTGGTGCTCAACTGTTTCAGCTCTCTTAAAAGTGTAGAATTAAATCCCGAGTGGCATGGAGCCGGGTGAACTTACTGCATCCATTCCCCTGAATTTGCCATGGTATTTGATAGTATTGATTTTGTGAACTTCAGATCAGATATAGGTGATCAGCTATTAGATCAGTTTCAGACATCAATCTGACAGGGTATAATTTGTGTCCATTGCCATAGTGTCTCCAGCGCATTCAAAGTTGTGGAGGTTCAAATGGATCAATAGTGTTCCTTCTGTTCTTCATTTTTATGAGTGACCTTTTCTAGTTTGTGCGAAACATGACATTTAGAAAAAAAAAAAAAAAAAGCTCGAAAAGCTTTCAAACCAGAGGGACCTGCTACCCAGACCACTTCATTGAGCTGAAGTGGTCTGGGTGCCTATAGTGGTCCTTGAATCCCAAACCATGCTGTGTACAGTATTAAAACCAGCCTAGAACTTCCCATAAGAAAGCAGATTGTGCAGCAAATGTCAAGCTTTGCCATAGATTATAGAGATGTAATATATTCATCTGCACTCGTTGTCTCATGTTACTACAGTACTCATCATCATGATGAGAGAGAATGAAAACCTATTAATGAGATAATAAGTTACAGGAAAACAAATAACTAAACAGAACTAGACAGAAATATAAAGATTACGTTATTTAGATTTTTAGTTGTCCAGTCTCTTTGGATTAGAGGTTGTACTGCAGTAACAGGTCTTTTATGATAGATGGCAATATTATCTGGAATGTTTGTAAATCCACCGTAGGAGTAACGTAGGTAGCCACAAAGTAATAATAACTTAAAGTCCAGTGTAGAATTAAGCAGGTTGGAAGTCAATCAGGAATGTAGAGTTGTTAAGGCTGGTATGGAGCAGGTTGGTGAGTAAAGCAGGTTATGGAGCCAGTAAGGTAAGTCCACAGGTTATAACACAGGAGCCAGGATATGAAGTCTTTCAGGCAATCATCAACTTTAATGTCAAAGCCATAAGTTGAGGTTGTAACCTTTTATAGGATCTGAATTAGTCCAGGTAGGTCTGGATGAGATGAAAATCTCTGTGCTAGTGGTTAGGGAGGCCACTAGTGGCAAATAAAATCAGTGTAGGAACTTGATTTTTAAAGGAATAAACAGAACAAAAAGTCTTGTTTGTCAGGATAGGATCCTGACAATTCCTGACCTCAGAAATTAGGTTTAATGACCAGCTTTAGTCTACAGAGCTCCGCTACACAGAATAACTCATTGTTAATTTAGAATTTTATTGTATATGTGTTGTATGAGTAATAATCTACAATTGTATTTTGTCTCTTATTGTATGTGTAACCATGTATTTTTACCGTATCAATAAATATTTTTATGTAAATCTTTATTTTAGGAATTGTGGTTTTTTTGCAGCCCCGTGGAGGTGCTAGTAAAATCTGGCAATAGCCATCCGCTAACCTGACCCATTGACCAAGTCTATATAATTATTTAGTATGTCACTGACCTCGTAAAAACTTTTATTTTTTTTGTCTTCAGGTGCATCATTACAATTTCCTTAATTGTTTGAACTTGAGTAAGTGTCATACTGTGCTGTAAAATGTTGTAGAATACTTTGTCGTCCTTAAAAAGTGGGGTTTTTTTTTGTTTTACTAGGAGGACCAGACCACGTTGACCCTTCAGGAGTTCTTCTGCCTGCACCAGCGCAGTCATGGGTTTGGCTTGTAGATTTGGAGAGGACGGTTACCCTGTTGATTGGTTGCTGCTTAGGGGGCATGCTGCAGGGATCCCCCATATCTCCAGAAGAACAGGACACAAACTATTGGTTAAAAACACCTCTGTTTGGAAATGGTATTGAAATGGATGTTCCTCAACTGGGTGAGTTGAATTGAGCAGAGCATATTGATTAGATGCAGTGATTCCTAAATCACACATAATTATTTACATGATACAAATTAAGTTATGGTGCACTCATAAAAATACACTATTAATCTTATCAGGCTACTTAAAATCTCCTATCTAACAAAACAAATATGGGGATTCAGTTCCACCATATGGCAATATTGTGTTAAGTCCACCACTACTTCACAGAACCCCAGTATTGGTGGGTCTTACACGAATTCCAAATGTGGGACACAAATTAAATAGTGCTAGTGCTAAATAAGCTAACGTGTGTATAACATAATGATACAGGTTGTCTGAAAATTATGGAATCAACGTGATGGTTGCAATAATATTAACAAAATGTGTTAAATTACATGTTATAAGATACCAGATACTTCAGCCACCCATGTGTAAATTACTATAATAAATTCATACTTGTCAGTGATGCTTGCATTAAAATATGAAACTTATTTTACATTTAAAACCTTTCTTTGTGAAGCAAACTTTGTCCAAGGAGTGATTCGCTTTTTTAGCCCTCTTTTTATGCCCTATTATAATACAAGTCATGAATGTTTGATTTTAATGGTTTGATTCTATATGTTTCCTGAAACTCTGTACTGACTTGTAGTTTCAATATTGTGAAATTCAAATTGCTAATAAAAGTGGAACTGTAGTAAGAGGTACCTCTTTGATTCCAATGTAAAGATGTTGGTTTCAGAAGAATACCTTACCTTGAAGCTGTTTTAAAATATATATTTTAAATTGAATTAACAGAGCACTAACTTTTAATGCACTGTTTTAATTTGTTTGTTGGTTTATTTATTTGCATTGTTTCTTTGTCTTTTTTTTTCTTTCTACAGACAAGTGTATGAGTGCTCTTCTTGAAGTGGCCCTTTCTGGCAATGAGGAGCAGAAGACCTTTGATTACAAGCTGAGACCTGATGTGTCCATTCTGGTCGATTTGGCCGTGGGATCAACCAAAGAGCCAGCACGCAGTCTGTGGATCACTATGCAGGATTATGCAATTAGCAAAGGTATAAGAACTGCATATCGGATGGTGACTGGCTTCGCTCTGTCTCGTAAACATATATGAGGATTTTCCTTACGAATGTGCAGTGTGGACACTGTTCAAGACTATGACTTTCTAACTTGACACTTTCCTTTTCCATTGCAGACTGGGACAGTGCCACCATAAGCAATGAATCTCTGCTGGATACAGTTTCTCGCTTTGTCCTCGCAGCCCTACTAAAGCACACTGATCTGCTATCCCAGGCCTGCGGAGAGAGTAGGTAAGTGTCAAAAATGTTATTTGGCAAAACTTTTAACAAAAAGGAAAAATGATTGGAAAAGCAAATAATATATATAGCCTATATAAATTTAAATCCAGATCTGGTCCCTTTGTTACTGTAAAAGTGACTGATTAAGTGTTGTGAATTGATACCCTTGTATTATTCTTCAGGTATCAGCCGGGGAATGCACTGGCCGAGGTTTTCCGCAGTGTATACAAGGTGCGGAGCAGGCTTCTGGCTTGCAAGAACATGGAGCTGATCCAGACTCGTTCCTCATCTAGAGAGAGATGGGTATGGTTGAAAATCTTTTTATCGTGCTTATCATAATGTTAAAAAAAAAAAAAAAAAACATGTTTCAGATTTTCATTGATTTTCAAGTAGGATTTTCGAGATAATGTTCTTAAATACAGTCCACCTTTGATTTTTGTTTTCAACATTTTGTTTTGTTGTCTTCAAAAATGGTGACCTAGCTTTTGACTGTAATATTTTAGGTGTCTGAAAACCAGGAGTCTGCTGATCTGGACTCCCAGGAGAACTGCTTCACTAGAACCATAGATGAGGAAGCTGAATTGGAAGAGCAAGCCGAAAGGGAAAGGGAAGAGGGACATCCGGAGCAGGAAGAGGAAGAAGAGGATCGGGACCATGAGCATCTAACAGCTGGCAGTGAGTATCTGTCAGTGTTGAAGTAGGGAGTTCCTTATTGCTGTTTTTTTTATAAAGGGATCAGTCGTAGAAGGCCCCGAGGCATGGAGCAGTTGGAGTCCTGTGCAGGTTTATATTTATTTAAAAAGAAGGGGGAGGAGTCTGCGCTAAGTAACAGAAATATGAGCTGCAACCCTAGAAAGGGAATCCCTCAAAAACCCTTAATGAGATATCGGAAAAGAAAAAGGGGGTGAAGGGCTGCGCTATGAAAAAGAGATAATAAATAGTAAAATTTTACTATTTATTATCTCTTTTTCATAGCGCAGCCCTTCACCCCCTTTTTCTTATATTTATTTAAAGCAAAAATTACATCATTTTGCCATTTCATGGCAAAAAGAAAATCTGGTTTTGTAATAGACACGGAGGCTAGTATTGTTCACCAATAGCAGTAAAGAAAATACACAAATAGAAAAAAGTAAACATATAGAGTGACCCCAGCCAATTCCCATTCAGGTCCTTGTATAACCATAACCACCACTCCAAGTACTTTTACTCTTTCTTTGACAACGAACAAATACACCAATATCGACAGAAACCATAAAACAAGGCAGACCTCACCAGTGCAGGACACAGGATCCAAATTGTAAGATTTACGCAGGGATAGCTCTAATACATTTCAGAAATAACTGGAATACGACATCCACCAAATAGAAGATTCTCCATACAAAGATGCAAGACAACGTAAGTAGGCACGGAATGTAGGAGGGTTAATCATGGAATCTAGGAGGGTTCATGATGGAATCACGCTGAAACAGGACCCCTCATACATCAGCGAATGAAATCGAAAAAAAGCAAAACTGCTGATCCATCATCCAAGTCCTTAAAAAGAAGCTCATATAAGTATTGGTAAATCATGAACCAATAAATCACAAACCAGCATATTAAACCATAGTAGAAATACACAACACACATCCCTGATGTACCTACCATAGCGACCTACAAACCCAAAATTGAGAGGAAAGAACAACCCTGTGCAAACCGCAAAAACCATTAGGGAGGGACAATATTCGCCTCCATGTCTTTTATAAAATCATGACTATTTCTGCATGAAATAGTAAATCATGTAATTTTATGGCAAGACATGGAGGTTCAAATTGCAAGTTCAGAGCTGTGCAATCATAGAAACATAGAATGTGACGGCAGATAAGAACCATTCAGCCCATCTAGTCTGCCCAATTTTCTAAATACTTTCATTAGTCCCTAGTCTTATCTTATAGTTAGGATAGCCTTATGCCTATACCATGCATGCTTAAACTCCTTTACTGTGTTAACCTCTACCACTTCAGCTGGAAGGCTATTCCATGCATCCACTACCCTCTCAGTAAAATAATACTTCCTGATATTATTTAAAAACCTTTTCCCCTCTAATTTAAGACTATGTCCTCTTGTAGTGGTAGTTTTTCTTCTTTTTAATATAGTCTCCTGACTACGCTTGTTTATGTTGTTGTGGCAACGCAGTCATCGTTGTACCTATCTGCACAACAAAAATAAAGAATTTAAAAATTAAAAAATTAAAAACATTCAGGGATGTAATTTTTAATTAGTTAGGTAATTGCCTCTATATCCAAGGAGAGATCTGATTGCCTTTCTGGGGTCAAGATGGAATTTTTTCTTAGTTTGTTGCATAATTGGAAAGTGCGTCAAACTGGGTTTTTTGCCTTCTTTTGAATCAACAACAAAAACAAGTATGAAAAAGGCTGTGTAACGTACTTAACACAGTTGAAGATGTACAGTGACATTATTTTACGTAAGTACTTTGTGGAAGAATCCACATGATTGGAACAGTGGCCTACGGTTAATAGTCTATTTTGTCAGACATTATTGGACTTGAGATGGTACTAGGTTACATTTTTAATTTGACTTTGAAAAGCTATGGTGGATGTAGTTTTAATACAGTTCTTCAGCGTCTTCATTAAATCTAGTCATTGCCTTCATGAAGGAATGGTAGTCTGGCAGCCACTAGAGGTGTGCATGCCTCCCAACTGTCATGCTTTTGGCGGGCCAGTACTTATTTTATGATCCTGTCCCACCATCCCAATTTAGTTCCCTGGTGTCCCTCATCTGGGGACACCAGTAATTGTCCAGAGGCACCACACAATGAGCACATAATTAGATATTCTCATACTAGGACTATGCAGAGAGTGCTTCAATAGCCTGGTGTATTTGATGACAGGCTGATTTGCCCCTTCAAAAACATTTTTTTTTTAATTTAAATACATAAATAAAATTACCATAGGCATGTTTGAAAAAAAAAATCTATATCCCGGGCTAAGCTGATGAAAAGTTCTTGAGAGTCAATAAGAGGAATATCTAAAAGGTCTAGGAAGAAAAGGCAAATATCAGTGTGCAATTAATTATCTGATTCTTAATATAAAGATCATACAGATTATGTGAGCAGGACCAATACATTTTATATGTGAGCAATGAGTAAGGCCAGTATGTGAAATATTTCATGTTTTGAGCTTAATAATGAACCAGCTTGATTAGGAAAAAAAAGTGATTACGTAAGAAATAATACATAAAGATCTTCCCTAGAATTTGTATGATGCATATACCCAGGAGAATAAATAGCACAAACTGTGGAAATATTACAGTTTTTACTATTATTTATTATTATTATTAATTGTGGATTCTTGTTTTTTTTTTTATTCCTATTTTGACAAAGAAAAAAATGGGAGGAATGAAGTATGTGTTCCGATTTGAGGTCATTCTTAAAATTAAAACATAAATAGGAAAACACAATAATGAAATAAATATAGTATGACACAATATCGCCTAGAAATACCGTGTTAGAGCTGGGCACACACCTCACATGTCTCTAGGTTGTAAACTGCTTTGAGCAAGGTTTTCATTCACCTATTGTTCCTGTAACATTTTGTACTTGTCTCATTTACTGTTAAATCCCCCCCTCCCCATTTATAATATTGTAAATCTCTGCAGAAAATGTTGGCGCTAAGTAAACACCAATATTAATAATAATAATAATGTATCTTTATAGTAAAATACTTTCTTCTGCTTGTGATCTGCATTATATTTCTCAGATAACACATAAATGTTGCCACATAGGGCATGAGGATACAAATAAAACTGATTTAAAGTCAACAGGTCTAAGCTAAGTGCAAACAAAACATGCCATGCAACCCAAGCAAGAGTAGGCTGACCATGGGATCTGATGAGCTTGATCACCCTCACCAGCTCTAGTTTATCTTAACTTGGAATGTCACAATATTTGTGCATTCTATGAATAGATTGTTCACCACAGGCAATCTGTGATGGTGATACAGCAAATAACAAATGACGTTTAATAGAAAACAAGCCAGTAAGTGTACATCTCTTGTTACCCCAGTCGGTGTGCGTTTCTCTACTCCTCCTTGTATAATTACACCCCCTCCTTCCACAACCCAGTCCCTCTTAAACCATCTCTTAGGAGGTAGCCTGCAACCCTCTATAGATGTAGATCCATCTGGAATCTCTCCTGCATCAGCCTTCCAGAGTACCCAGCCCCTTCCAGCACACAGGGGCCAGCCTCCTACCACAGAGCATAAGAGGGGAGTTAGAGCATGGTCTGTGTCTGATCCTTGCTGGCTGCCTCATTCCCACCCTGTTCTCAGGGATCTGGCTATGGATGCTGAGTGTTTGGAGTGCATGCCCTGTGTGCAGCCTGAGCTCCCCGCTGCAGAGGAGGAAAGCAGCGGGGAGGGAGATGATGACATTATTGGCACTGAAGAGGGAAGACAGCAGCAGGATGTGCCAAGCTCCGAGCTTTCAGAAGCCCCACAGCTGGGGGGCCACCAGGAAGGTATGTACTCCAGGCATCCTGCATCCTTTCCCCCTCTCTCTGTAGGTGCTGCTGCTGAGAGCATTGATGGGCAACCCAGGCCCACAGGCGGCACCTGGACCACCACTCACAGCACGGTCACCTAGTTGCATCGCTGAAGCTGCATACCTTAATAACAGGTCTGGTCTTATATATAAGATGTGACAGGCTGGCATGGCTCTAGCTGGTAGCACAACAGGTCAACCATGTGTGTGGTATGGCCAGCTAGTAGGGTAAAGGCAATACGCAGTCATAGACTACAACTCTCACAATGCTCAGCCAGCCATATGATCTCAATTTCCCTATAGCTCTATTGGCAATGACATTATTATTACAAGTGGTAATGTCTACCTATTAATGTATGAATTATTCTGTCTAGCTATTATCCACCTACCTGTCTGTCTATGCATCTTTTATCTGCCCTTATCTATCTACCTTATTTATCTACACATTTCTGCCCCATCGTCTCTTTATTTATTTATATATAAAGTCTGCCATTATCTATTCCGTAATTTATATTTCTATCAGTTGTTTTTATCTAACCATCCATCTGTCATATTATTGCTTCTTGTATTGTCAAAATATTTTAGATTTTGAAAAGCCTGCATCCATTAAGTCTTTAACTAAAACCAGATCATTTTTCATTTTACTACCAATCTCTCTCATTCTTTTATTGTACTTGGAGATTCAGAAGAGTAATTCACACATGCAAAATATGGATCCATTTTATTATACCCCCTAAGGCTACCCTGGGGTTAAGCTAAACATTAGCTAGCCATCATATTCCACATACTTCTCCTGGCAGGTTTCGTCACTGTGCTGTCTATCACTCTCATGTTACCCCAAAGTAAAGTCTAAATTCAGTCTAAGCAACAAGCTAGCACAGACACCAAGACATGGTAAATAAGCTCAGGGGTGTAATCAGTAACTAGTGAATTGTGGGGAGTTGGTAACTGCATTCCAAAACGGAGGCCAAAGTTACAATTACAGGGAAAAAAAATCTAAAGTTACAGCTTAGTAGATCAGTTACAATACATTTGTTCTTAATTATTATAACATAGATTGTAAGCTCTTTTGAGCATGTCCTTCCTCACACCACTTTCTCCAATTGTAAAGCGCTGTGCAATATGTTGGCCCTATATAAATACTACTAATTAATATTTTCCCATTAGGATTAGTAAGCAGGAAAAGTCTACTAGTCCAACCAAATGTATAAAAATAAATAAAATTGAAATTATTCATGAAAAATCCATATGTGCATATATACACACACAATTGGGTTGGTTGCACCAGCCAATATTGCTGGTAGCATGTAACTTATCTGTAAAATATTTATCAATGCAATTAGTATTTTTCATTACATGAGAGAATTAATTTCACCGAAAAGCATACCTGTCTGGTGAAAGAACTATCAGAGTCCATGGAGGTGCATTACTGGCTAACTTGTATAAGGGAATTAAATCCCATCAGTGTTGGGGCCCCTTCGATAGTCAGGATCCAAAAGCTGATAAATAGCAAAGCAACCACTGGTAAGAAGAAGGAAAACCGTGTCACCCCTAAAAAGAAAATCTTCTGCCCGAGTATGTAAAGCAAGCATCACATTCGTCCTCACAGCACACATGTCAAGGAATGGGACAATGGATGGGTGTAACAGATTTGTTGAAAGATGAAGTTGTAAATGTGCGTTTCTTCCATCAATATAAGTATTTGTTACAAACCAAAGTATTTAATAAAAGAAGCCATTCTTTAAAAAACACCAACATTGCAGGTTTTAACAATAGCCTAAAGTAGACAGAAGTGTGTGATGCCTAAATCCTGAATAGTTTGTGATCTGTTTGTTTTCAGAGTCTTAATTATTATTATTGCCATTTATATAGCGCCAACAGATTCCGTAGCGATTTACAATATTATAAGAGGGGGGATTTAACTATAAATAGGTCAATTACAAGAAAATGTACAGGAACGATAGGTTGAAGAGGACCCTGCTCAAACGAGCTTACAGTCTATAGGAGGTGGGGTGTAAAACACAATAGGACAGGAAATAGCAATCAAATAAGGTGGGAGTGAAGCAGAGCTGGAGGAGAGAGTGCAGTGCTGCCCTTTAGGAGAGAGCAAGAGGCAGGTATGTGAGGTAGAGGTTACTCTGGGAGGACATAAGTTTTCCTAAAGAGATGGCCATAAAGCGTGAGTTGGCCGTACGCGTGCGAGCAGCGGACAGGAGAAGGTTACAGGCAGAGCAGAGACAGAGAAGGGGCATACCTATGGATCTGTGATAAGACAAAAGAGGCACTAGAATTGGTCAATGCTTGAAAGGTATGGGTTAGCACTTTGAATTCACTCCTATAGGATACAGGAAGCCAATGTAAGGACTGACAAAGGGGTGAGGTGTGATTGGACCGACTAGAGCGGAAAATCAGTCTGGCGGCAGCATTCATTACAGACTATAGCGGGGCTAACCGGTTTTTAGGAAGACCAATTAGGAGAGGGTTACAATAATCCATGCAGGAAATTACTAGAGCATGGACAAGCTCTTTGGTAGCATCTTGTATAAGAAAGGGGCAGATGCGGGCTATGTTTTTAAGATGGAATCTACAGGACTTGGTAACATGCTGGATGTGAGGCTCAAAGGTGAGGCCAGAATCAAGTATGACACCAAGATAGCGCACTTGCAAGGATGGACTGATGTGGATACCACTAACTTGAAGGGAGAGTTAAAGAGGATGATTAGTATTAGGAGGAGGAAAGACAAGGAGCTCAGTTTTAGAGAGATTTAGTTTCAGAAACATACAGTTGTAATCAAAATTATTCCACCACCATGGATCAGGTTCATTTGGAAAATCAGGTTTATTGTCAATGTTTACAGACTTAGCGGTTTGCAATGAACAAATACAACAAAAGCAATTGAAATTGCTCAAACAACAAATGCTTCAAGAGGTTTTCCCAAATTCAACTGAAAATGCAACTTATACTCCAGTCTCAAACATATTCATGGCAAGCATCTTTAATACTTAGTAGAGCACCTGTTTGCTGTTATGACCTGCTGCAATTAAGATACATAGCCAGATGCCAACTTCTGGCAGTGTTCCTGAGGAATCTTTGCTCACTGGTCATGAGTCATGGCCTCCAGTTCAGAAATATTCTGGGGTTTGTGTGCTGCAACCGCCTTCTTCAAATCCCAACACAGATTTTCTATGGGTTTCTTGTTCTTTTCAGTCAGTAGTGGTGTATGTCTTGGAGTTCTGGCATTGGAACCTTCTGTGTTTAGAACATGCGTTACTGTGCTCACTGAAAACTCAGTGCCTATTTCCACCAAGTCTTGCTGCAGGTCTTTTGCAGTTACTCAAGGGTTTTTCACAACCTGCCTTCTCAAAATAATTGTTTTGCAGCCATTAATAGCTTCCTTTTCTGCCCCATCTAGGTAGTGTAACCACTGTTCCTTTAACTTTGAACTTGCAAACCATGCTGTGACGGTAGTAGAAAATATCCCCGTCAAGCATTCCCTTCTTCCCATAAAAGAAAAGCACTCAATATTCCATAAGCAGAAATATCCCTGGAATCGCCGAATAATCCACACATGAGCCAAAGCTTAATGCTGGAACAAGACTGATTTACTGGCACACAGAACTCACAATTTATGCAACACAAAACTCCTCCTCTGGGCCAGGCTAGATAATTGAGTTTCTACAATACACAAAGCTCAATTATCTGCTGGCCAGAAATAATACAGTTTCATAAAACACACAGGGACCCCAAAACATGCAATAACCCCATAAAAAGTATATCCTTGGAACCGGGGGATCTGGTTGAACCACATATCCAAAATTCACCCAGATCCGTTCAGTACTTTGGAAAATACAGATTCTGCAGAACATGTACAGGCTAAATGAAAAACAATCACTGTATAATGTGTCCCCTGCTGTATAGTCCAAAACCACTGCATGATGTCTCTGTGCACCAAATACTGGCGAGATGGCACCGTGTTGAAAAGTCCAAACAGTGTCTGTAAGTTAAAATGGCCGCCATCCATTGTTCTCACCATGTGCTTCTGATACAGGAAATGGTGGCCACCCAGTAGCAATTAAGTTGCGGTTTTCTCTGTGTTCTAATTGCTACTTGCTACCCAGGGTATGTGGTCCCCGTTCGGTATACGAATACATTCATTC